GGGCCTGCAGCTGGGGCGGGGCCTGCAGCTGGGGCGGGGCCTGCAGCTGGGGCGGGGCCTGCAGCTGGGGCGGGGCCTGCAGCGGGGCGGGGCCTGCAGCTGGGGCGGGGCCTGCAACTGGGGCGGGGCCTGCAGCTGGGGCGGGGCCTGCAGCTGGGGCGGGGCCTGCAGCTGGGGCGGGGCCTGCAGCTGGGGCGGGGCCTGCTGGGGTCCCACCATTGCAGCAGTTGCAGGGGCCGCCTGTCCTGGCTGAGCAGGGACGGCGGGGTTGCTGGCTGCATGATTGGTATCTGCTATGGCGGCTGGGGTGTTTGCGGCCGTGGTGATGGTGGTAGCGGTTACCCCGGCCACGTTGGTGGTGGTGATGGCTGATGCAGGCGGCACAGGTGGGGGTGTGACATACGGCTGCAGCTCCGGGTTGAGACCCCTCCCCATGGGTGCTAGCTGGGGTCCTGCTCCCATGGCTGCCTCCATGCCCCACCTTGACCGCATCACGGCCGCTGCATACGAGGGCCCTCCCCCGTTTGAGGGGCCTGGTTGGCCCGGGGCAGCAACAGGCTGTGCAGTACGGCCCTGCCGTCGCATTTGCTGTAACTGCTGTGTCTGGCGCGCCAGCTCCTTCCTTGGTGGTGCTTTGCACGGCATAGTGAAGGGTCCCTCCTGACCGTTCCGTTTCAGTCTGGAAGCCCTCAGTATGCCGGACCTGGTTACCAACCCCGCCCTGCCGAGTTCGTAGTGTTTTTCACCCGGTAGACCGGGGGTGTCCTGCGCCACCTTGATTCGCCAGGTGTCTGCCATTAGAGTGGGATTCAGCTCATGGATGTCTGATTCATCCCACCGGAACCACGGAGTGGATTAGCAGACGGCAAGGAAACCAGGGATGGCTCTGGGATCCAGGTTGGTGGGGTTCCCCTTGATCTCCCAGTAGGGCCGTTCCGCCTTGTACAGGTTCGTGATGGGTAGCTCCACTTCCACCGGTGGGCTGCTGGGTAGGAGTTGGACTGGCCCCAGCTGAAGCCGTCCTCTCCGGACTGCTGGCGAGGTGGTAAGCATTGCGAGACCACCTTTCCGGATCAAGATGCTGATCTCTTGCACTTTCACGCCGCTGGAGAGTGCGCGTTGCGGGCATTTGCTGATTCGCGGCCCGAGCAGCCCCTCTGCCTATACGGGCGGTATTATCGCCTGTAATTTGTTTACAATGGCCTTGCCCACTGGTCCATGTAGCTGGGCTTGTATGTCCGCGGGGTCGGAACCGGCCGGCCAATGGATTTCCATGGTAACCTGGTCCTGTTCCATATAAAGTGGGGTTCCTTGTGGAATCGTGCCCAATGTTATGTCGGTGTCCACATCCTTTCGTTCCGCTTGGGCGCGGCTTGGTTGTGGGCGAGCAGCTGGGGCTGTCGCCCGTCCATTTGAACGTTCCTTTGGCGCGGAGGTCCGCGCCTGCCCATTTTCTGCCATTCTGGCCTATAGTAACTCAAGCATATTCGAGAGTTCTCCGTTTTTGCCGAAGTCGGCGAGGTCAGCCATAGGCAGTTCGCGGTCGCGTTTTAACGAATATTACATTTGCTTTTATTGTTGCTGTTGCTGTTGTTGCCGTTGTTGCCGATGTTGTTGTTGCCGTTGTTTTGTTGTTATTACAGAGTGGGAGGCTTCCGGGCCAATGGAAGACATTTGGAACGTCATGTCCACATTGCAGCAGCTAGCCATAATTCCACGCTCCAGACGATATCGGGGGTTTATCCAGGAATCGTACCCAGGACCTTAAACCGCAAATCGCAGTAGTATGAATGTGTGAAACAGGGGGGTGTATCTTCGCCCGTGGCAGCTACCCTGCGAAACCCTGCCTTCCCCGGTATTTAGGGGCACCCTCATCCAGTCACCCTAGTCAACTTCTCAGTGGATCACTCAGGTTCCGCACCCACCACCAGCATCCAACGGAATCTGCCGGGTCGCAGTAGTGTCTCCAGACCAGACATAATATCCTAATATGACACAGCAGGGTGGTTATTAACCAGCCAGAAGCGAGCTCTGAAAAGTGAGGGGGCGATTCAAAGGGGTTACATACACTCCCTATATAAAACTTTTATAAAATATATCCCTAATATTATTATATTATTGTGGTTTTGTGATTTTTTTAATTATATTATGTATATTTATAATGTAATAAGGAAAACCACAAATATTTGTGTCCTGCATGGTGGTTGGATGCTCGCTTGGGATTGCGTATTACTTAACAGCGGCGCATGACTTTCCTTCCTTGACTTTGCGTGCCTCCGCTGCCGCCTCTGTTGCTGTTACTGCTGCTTCTGCACGTAGGCGCTAACGCTCTGCCCCTTTCGCTGAACCGAATGGATGGATGCTGCGGTTGCAGTGGTTAGTAGCATCACTGGTGCTGTTCGAGCTCCAAAACACAGTACGAATGAACATCCGTGCGTGCGTGTATGTATGTATGTATGTATGTATGCGACCCGAAAACCATCATGATCTCGAGACCTCTGTGGGATGGCCAGCAAGGCCTTCACTTCTTTCGCCGCTCTGAAGTGTACTTGACTGTATTGCAGTGTATTGCGGTGTATTGTATTGATGTGCTGTATCGGTGATGTGCTTCTTGCTGGGTGCTATGATGTAGATGTATGATGTCCATTAGCGGTGTTTCGAAGGTTAGGGAGCTATGTGCGGTGGCATATCTATCTACTTATCTATCTACCTATCTATCTATCTATCTATCTATCTATCCATCTGTCTATCCGGTAATGCTCAGCACTCAGAACTACGTAAAGACAGCAGCTGGTTATTATCTTCATGTGTGCGTTAATTGACAACCAAATTGATTATTGCAATATTATTGCATTGGAGGCGCTAGGGCATGCTGCGTTGCTACATGCCGTACGCAACCAGCCCTGAAATGTACGTATGTTTGCTTGTTCGTTTGTATGCATGTATGTATGTTTGTATGCCATGTATGTGTCAGTGTGCTGTGCAGCTGCGTGATTCACGACTTCACTGCACGGGGCTCATGGCTGCCACCGCACCATACTGCACTGCGGCACAGCTGGTGAGCGGTTGGTGAGCGGTTGGTGAGCGGTTGGTGCACACATGTTCATGTTCGACTGGATGGGGACTTCGTACGTTGCTCACTTTCTGTTTTCAACAATGATGTACGGCCGTTGCGTTGTTGGCCGCTGCTCGGTGAGGAGCACATATCTACATACCTACATATCTACATACCTACCTACATGGCAAAGTGTACATGGTGGTCCTCCGAATAGAGTAGTCCCCCTTCCAGACGACATGTTCCACTTTTCGTTGTGTGTGTGTGTGTGTGTGATGGGTGGAACTCTAGGGTATTATTTTTCTGCACATCACATTGATAGGGTGTCTCTGCACACCTGCACATGTGCAGAGCGATACACTATAGTAGCTGATACACAGTACGGCACACATATCATCTACGATAAAATATGCGCTCGACCAGCATCTCCAGAGGCCTTTTCAGCGGCCAGCTACTACACGGACACACCAATATGATAGAAGAATGCAAAGTAACAAATGCAGAAGTGTTGAGGCGCTTACATTACCGGTGTGTGAGGCCAATACTATGTTAACACCCCAATGGTGTGTGCGGCCGCCTTAAGGCTTGCCCACGTCATCAAGGGATGTCGGATGACTTGGCTGACTTGCTACCGGCGGGATCCGAAATCAAGCTAGTTACTCAAGGTGCAGGCGACTGTGTGTTGATATCAATCAGGCACGAATGGATCAAGTGGTTGCAAGAGCCATTATATTTGGATGCGGTGCTCGCAATGCACTAGGTTGTTATCGCCCTAGGTGTTCAGGAGCTAGGAGCTAGGAGCCGCTTTCCTCCGCCGTTCCTCCCCAGTAAGCAGGTCCAGCAGAGCAAGTCCGAGCGTCCACCTACCACACCGGCGAATATGCTGTTGGCTATTGCACATCCTACGGGGCGCACATTCTCTGCGCGTAAGCAAAGCGATATGTATGGTTGTTACAGTGGGCTCCAGACTCGTGAAGAGTAGAGCCAGCGGGCCAGCGGGCCAGCTGGCCGTGCATTGCTACTGCCACCTGAGACGTTCAGGGCAGTCAGGACCCCCTCTCCCCGACCATCAGGGCAAACAAGTCACCTAGACAGCAGCAAGCGAACCCAAAGGGAAGGGGACTCAGAAACCCACCACCACGGGACGTTTGCCAACAGGCTCCCCAGTTGGCGAAATGCCCCGGACCCCCACCAGAAGGCCCATCAGCAACAACAGATACTGACAGGAACTTTGCACGTGGTTACTAGATGAGGCCTGTGGCCCAAAAATCCGCAAAACGAAAGAAACTGAAAAGAGAGCCTGATCAACGAATAGCTAATCGTCCATCTGTGTCAGCTCCCGTGAAAATAACAACTTGCCCGATACAATTCGCGCGAAACGGTGATGTGACCCGACCAAATCCCATAGGATCCCATCCTTTCCGAGGAACTCACAGAGCTATGAACACGCCCATGGATTAGGGGGGAAGTGAAAACACCAAGTGAAAACACCATTTTGGTTTCGGGCTGGACTGCAGGAAATTTACAGAGTTCACAAGCAGTACAATCGGTAGTTAAGTTCAGGAAATGGTAAACGATTAAATTTAGGCGATTGATGAACGATATTATATTCAGCCTTAGGATTTCGCTGTCGTGGCCCTTGTCGTGGCTAGTCGGGGCCGTGCGGGGCCACGACTGCAGGCTCAGGTTGGCTACGGCCAGACCTCAATATGATCGGATTTTTTCTCATCCTACAGATGCTTTGCTTTTCGCCGGATTACAGCCGCTACAATTGCAGCAGTTGGGCTAGTATGACTCATCGTACCGCGGGCGATACAAATGAGAATAAAAGATACATGAAAAAAGAGGAACAGATTTCAGAAATTAATGTCATCGGCCAGCTCGTAATGCCATTTGCAGGGAGAGTCGTATCTAGGAATTCTAGGGTCAGCACAGCTTCAGGCTGTTCCTGCAGACTTATTTGCGAGCTTGCAGACACATAGCCCTCTGTTGGATGATATGTAAGCTGTGCATGAAATTGCTTTCAGCCCGTCGAAAAATCCAACAAGGCCTGCTGCTAATACAGGTCCGACCTGCGGCCTCGGAGTATGGGAAGCTCTGTGCGCCAACCATTTCCAAAGGTATATTTATGCAAAATACGCATTTGTTGTTCACATTGAGCTTATCATTGGTGTCGACTTACCCTACTTGGTCGTCAGGTCTCCGAGACTGGCACCGAACCTGCTAGTGAAGCCAGCGGCACCGAAGCTAGGGCTCCCGACTCGTTCACCTTTCTTTCGGTTAGTGGGGACTTCAATGGAGCGGTTTTGCTTTCCTTGGTCGCTTGTTCGCTGTTTGTCGTTTGTTTGACCAACACGTTCTGTCCTCTGCTATACTTCTTCAAACTTTTGTCTCGCTTAAACGTTTCTCATTATGGCGCGGGACTGGTTTTGCCTTAGTACATACCTCCATTCCGATGCCCTGACCCTCGCCTCGCTTTTCTACTGAGCTTAACTTGACCTCGCATGCAGGCGATTCCACCCATATTCCGCGGCGGTTGCGCTGTTGCCGTGGCGGAAGCCGCCGTCGCCGCTGCAGTCAGGCGACGGTTTGGGCCCTCCATGGTCAGCATGGAAGCCCTGCCGAGCGGACCGCGGCCACTAATGCACCCTCTGGCCGCCGCATCCAACCCAGACGCTGAGCCAGAATTTATGGATGCGACGCTGACGCCTGCCGCTTCCGGCGATGAGGCTTATGCGCGCCAACGCCAAATGGGCCTTCATTTGCTACAGCCTCAGCCACAGCCTCAGCAGCAGGAACCGGAGTCCACCTTCGAGGGGCTACACAGCGCCGCATTCTCAACCCGCGGCAGGACCCCCCCAACCTCCCAGTCCTTATCGCGCGCGATTCACCATATATCCCCTTCTATATCTCCTAACGCCGCGATCTACCGCAACGAATCCGCAACCCGGATGCAGTGGCAGCCCGCAGCCGTCCTTCTAGAAGCTCCGCCGCGGCACGGCGCCACTGGCTGTCGTACCGCTGGTTTCAGATCTCAGGTGGATGGCTGCGGCGACGGCAATGTCGCTCACCATTACGCGGGTGACAACCACGCGGCCACACGAAACGGCGGAGGCGACGGCGGAGGTGGTGTCAACGTGCAGCTGCCCCTCGAGATGCGCTTGGGGGATCTGGTACTCAGCGGCACCTGGGGTCTGGCGGCGGCGGCGACACCTGCCGCCGCTGCCGGTTGGCCTTCCGCCGGCAGCGATGATAACGTCTACACAACGGAATGCAGCTTGGCGCGTATGTGGACGGATATCTTCTCATCCGCTGCTGCGCAGGTGATATCAGCATTGCCGCCGCAGCCACAGCAGCAGGCGCAGGCACAGCCGTCGCGGCGCGGCCGTCAGCTCGCAGGTCTGCCGCCGCCGCTGCCGCCAGCACCGGTACCGCAGGTGTCGCCGCAGCAGCCGCCGCTGCCGTTGTCACCGTCGGCGCCGGGGCTTGTGGAAGAGGTAGAAGCAGATGAACACATTCGCTCCTTTGGAGCCGTACAGTCGGGCGGAGGCGGCGGCGGCGGTGGCGTGACACCTGGTCGAGGTACAGGGGGCGCGTCGTGCAGCTTGATAGGGGCGGCGGGAGGGCGCGACCGGCGTCGTTCTGTCGCCAGTGGTGCAGCGGTCGGCCGGTACGGCAAGCTGCTCATGTCCAGCCCGAGCTGGTGGTGTACGGAGTTGTACGACATTCATGACTCGCTGCTGCTGTCAAAGATTTCGGCGAGCCGCGACGGTGATGGCGGCGGCGGTGGCAGCGGCGACTGCTTTGCCGTGCCGGATTTATGCCGGGAGGAACCTTGGTCTGCTCGCTCTGCTACAACAACGGGTACGGCAACGGCGGCGGCGGCAACGGCGGCGGGTACGGCTGCGATGCTTTCCACGGCACGCCTGTCGCCCTCCGCCTGGACCGATGCATCAGTGGAAATTACTAAACTCTCTGGCGATGGCGGCGGCGGCGACGGTGACGGCAACGGCGACGACACTAGTGAGCTACAGCTCCTTCGTGACATGGAGGATCTGGGCCCCGTCACTCCCGCTGTAGCTGCACAGCCATATGAGGAAGCTGTGGCCGGCTCTGAGATAGCAGGTGTGCTGGTATGCATATGCTGCCTGCCTGTTTCCTGTACGGCCTGTCGGTCTGTACTGTCTGCATGTTGTACAATCTGTATGGCCTATACGGCCTGCCTGTCCGCTTCATCTGGACTCGGACCTAGTGTGTTGCCTGAGCCCCCCTGTCGGCTCCTATTGCCACCCTTTATCTCTGTAATTCTGCACAAATATGTATATTATGGAACATATCCATCTATCTATCTGTCTATCTATCTATCTATCTATCTATCTATCTATCTATCTATCTATCTATCTATCTATCTATCTATCTATCTATCTATTCATCTATCTATTCATCTATCTATCTGTCTATTTACCTATTTACCTATTTACAGGGAACGTATCTACGTTTATATTGGTTTGTCATTACTGTGTGTAAGAGGAAGGTATACTCGTGCCGTACATAGCTGTACCCCGCTGACCCGCGGGCCACGTGGTTTTAGCATGCATTGAATTGCTGCGTGTTGCGTCGTCCTGACTGCATGAGCAGCATGAATTTTGCGATGGTATTTAATAAACGCACAGCATTGCTACACAACCCGCACGCCGTACTAATTCACACTACCAGCGACGATCCCGTTCCCGGTTCCACGTCGTAACATCATTCGTTCGTTCGCTCGATCGTTCGACCCCCCATGCCAGGGGGCCATTTTTAGTTTATTTAAGTTATCGCCCCGGGGGGTCCTGTGCATGGGGGGTCCACAGCTGTCGAGCCGCCTGTCGCGTCATCTGTCCGGCGTCAAGAATCTCTACGCGACGCTCGTCCATCGCCGCCGGCGTCGCCACAGCTGCCGCCGCGGCAGCAGCAGCAGCAGCAACAGCAGCAGCAGCAGCAGCGCCAACAGCAACAATCACAGCTACAGCCGACTTCAATACCACCTATGCAGCCGGCAATTCCGCCACGGCCGACGTCGCGCTTCGAGCAAAATCAACACGATGTACGGAATGTACGGGCCGCCAGCAGCAGCGTCATCAGCTGGGCCGCCGCACTCGAAGCCATGTCGGAGCAGGTCGTACCACGTCCAGCGTACTGCGCCGCAACCGCGGCGGCGCCATCAGGTGAAACCGCAGCAGCGGCAGCTGCAGCGGCAGCTGCGTCTGCGTCTGCTTCCGCTACAGCCGCAATCGCTCCGAAACCGGCTGCCGGCGCTCCGGCGGCCAGCAGCTTGGTCGAGCGTAGCACCGGTCAGATTTCTGCGGCGGCGCCCATGCCGAGATTGGGGGAGCAGGTGATCCGGATGCCAGGTATGTCTGTATGTATATGTTTGTATGTCGATGTCGACAACTCTTTTGAGTACAAACTGTTTGACGGCAGCTCTTAGGGCTCATCACCCCACGTTGATTTCCTTCTCAGCATCCGTTTTTTCCGTTTTTCCGTTTATCTGGTTGGTCGGCAGTTATCACGTCCTGGCATTCCTACACACCGACTTCTCGGCGGTATCGGATGACCGGGGGCGGGGGGCTTTTGACAGAACAGAAATGCTGTGAAAGTACCTGAAACCCTAAAACCCTAAAACCGGACGTACTCCCCGGTTTGTCCTCCGTCGGGGTCCCCGTGTGTGTTTTGGCGGCGCGTTTACCGAGTGAGTGAGGCGTGCTGTCGTTTTTTGGCGCCTGTCCTTTTCAAATCTTAAATTTCTGATGTGAAATGCGTTTGTATGTATGTATGTATGTATGTATGTATGTATGTATGTATGTATGTATGTATGTATGTATGTATGTATGTATGTATGTATGTATGTATGTGGATTTGAGAGTCCCCTAAAATCTGCATCGTCACCATAACCCGCTGCGGCCGCTGCCGCCATTGACACCGCCGCCACCGACGCCTCTTTGATTTCAGGGACTCAGACCGATGCGAAAGGAGCCCCCGGGTTATTAAAAGCTGCATCGTCGGCGGCGTCTTCTAATACAGGTGGAGGCGGTACGGCCGCCGCCACCGCTGTCGTACATGCCAGCCTTGCGGCGTGGCAACAGCCTCCTGACCATTTGTCGACGTCGTCCGTTCCCCACATCTCCTTCCGCCGTCCACCGTCGTCGCCGTCGTACCCCGCAACCGCCGTCGCCTCCACCGCTCTCCCGAGTCCCCCCCCGCGACCTCAAAGCTGGAGTGCGGCTGCTGCTATCGTTCCTGTCACTTTCCCCCCCGCTCCCGCCGCTACTGCTGCTGTTTCCGTTGCTGACATTGATGTTGGCATTAGTGACATTGCCGTACATACAGGACGGCCACATTATACCCCCGCGGTCGTCCGCGTTGGACCGCCACGTAGCGGTGGCGGCAGCAGCATCAGCGGCAGCGGGAAGCTGGCGGCGGTGACGCCGCTGCGTTCGCGGCTTAGCTCCGCGAGTGGCAGCGCCGCCGCTGGGGGCGCGGCAAATAGCCGTCGGTCGTACGAGTTGCCCGTCACATCCCCTTCCGGCAATAGAACTTCGTTACAAGTATCTGGGCGAGCTGAAATCGTACGGCGTATGGGGGAGGTTGGTGCGAGTACGGCAAGTACGGAAGGTCTTCTCAGGTATGGCACCCGCAGCAATGATGGCACTGGTAATGGCGTCGGCGGCTTGCAGTCCAGGAAGCAGCCGTCGCGCCTTGCTCGGCTGTTCGGTGCGTTGCGGCTTGGCGCCAAAAAGCCGTCCAAGGCAAGGAGGAGTGTGTCCAGTGAAAGCGACTGTGACGGCGATTACATTGGCGGCGGCTGTAGGAGCAGTTGCGATGGCAATGGTGATGTTGATGGTGATGGTGGGTGCAATCCGTCGCGCCAGGAACGATTGGCCAGACTAGCTCCGCTGGCAGCGGCGGTGCTATCGCCGCCGCCGCCGCCATTGCCGCCGCCGCCGCCGCGCCGGTCGATTAATATTAATGAGAATTGATCGATCGGCCGATTGGGGGACCTAATTGTGAAACCGCGACCGTCGAGCAGCTGCGATTATATCGATGATTTTTAATAATGATTTATGGGTTTTAGATCATTCTCAAGCGTAAATCCGTATCAATAATCAGTTCGGTTTCTGGCCTGGGCAACATGTTTATTTACTACAAAAATAAAATCTCTACCATAAAAATCGGATGCGTTAATTTTGGAAAAAGCTCAAGCTAGGAAATATAGAAGCTGCTGGGTGCGTTGTATCGTACAAAGTCAATGCATGCATGGACGGCTTTATTGTTGTACATGTTGAGGCCGTTCGATGTTTCGTTACAATCGATGGAGACACGCAGAAAAGATGGCTTATACTGGGGGGTACTGGGGTTGGGTTGTATGTATGTACGTATGTATGTATGTATGTATGTATGTATGTATGTATGTATGTATGTATGTATGTATGTATGTATGTATGTATGTATGTATGTATGTATGTATGTATGTATGTATGTATGTATGTGCGCCTGTACGGGGTTTAGCTGCCTGTATGTGTCGTAGACGACTGCTGCACGACTCGTACGTACGTGGACATTCCGTACATTCGCCTGGCGCGGAGACTGTCTGTGAGAGGCCTCTGCTTTCTGAACTCTTTTTTAACTCAATATTGAAGGTGATGGCTCTGCCCGTCTTGCAAATGGGGCAAATTTTAATCGGGCACAAACTGGGCGGCCTGACATGCATGTGCATGTGCATGTGCGTGTGACGTACGGAACGAACTGCGTAAATCCCCCTACGTCGCTGCTGCCCGTCCTCGCTTGCCGAAATATATATATTGCAGCAGAGTTTCAATTTTAACGGCTACGTATCGGGCAGCGCACTGCAGGACAAAATAAACCACGTAGCGGGACCACGGGCAGGACAAAATACACCACGCGGTTTGTTTTGTCCTGCCAGGTGCGCAATAATCAATTCCTCCTAGATATTCCTGAAAGAGTTACAGTTGCTGGTTTATAGTTTACGTTAATCGTATGTGCACAAGGAAAACTTGTTATTCATGCACTTTTTGGGGCGATTATTGCCATCGTCATTGTCACGGGTCGCTCGCTTTCTTTACATGTCGCTGCGGTTTGAGGTTGTGCGTCTCCATGCTCCATACTTTTGATGGTAATCACGAGCATAGCTTTATTTCATGTTTGCCTCGCGCTAGTGCTATATGGGTTGATTATCGCGGCGTTGGTGGCCTTGCTGTGTATGTTCTCATATGGTGTGTGTGGGACAGGGGGGTCATATCTTCACCCTGCAGCCGCTACCTGGCGAAACCCTGCCTTCCCCGGTATTTCGGGGCACCCTCATCTAGTCACCCTAGCCAACTCCTCAGTGGATGGCTCAGGTTCCGCACCCACCACCGGCATCCAACGGAATCTGCCGGATCGACGGCGGCCCAACTCCATTCCTGGTCAGCTCGCAGGTGTACCTTATCCCAGGTCACCACCGTCCAACGACTAGGGGCACTCTTACCTTTCACCATCGGAAGGATTTTCGACTTTGACAGGTCTCGATCCTGGATCCTCCGGCGGCATCGGTTCGTGCGTTACCAGTAGTGCCTGACTTGTATAATAGTATCTAGTACCTTGTAGGGTAATCTGCGTTTAGAACCGCATACATCATCATCGCCATCATCATGATCATTATCACCATCATCATCATTATCACCATCATCACCATCATCATATTCTTATTACTACTAACAGCACCTCCCTGCATCCTGACAGTAGTGCTGGAGAGCCTGTTCAATTAGTTTTAAGATTGTTCGTACTTCCGGGCACTCTCCATTAACAATAATAATCAACATTATTAACACCGACTATCATTACGCGTCATCCAGAACTCATCCTGAATTGTATGTATGTCGTGTATGTATCGAGGAGGCGCGGGTGTTACGGCGACATGTGGTTTCCCTGCAGGCCTTTATTTGCATCTCTCGCCACCGCCGTACCTTGCAGTACGCCTGCCGTACCGTTTGTTAGTAATGTCGAAAATTAACTGTATTACTCTTTAATTGCAGTGTATAATATCCAGTTCTAAAACTCTGTGAAGCAGGGGAGCCTGCAGCTACTGTTGTACACATGTGTAGCATTTATATATCGCTGAAGGACGGTATGTATATCTTGGCCGGCGCGTGATTGAATTTCGCACACGTGCGCATTGCTGTACGTTGCTGTACATACATGCGCATGCATGCGTAAATATTTTCAAAGGTTTGGTGGAAAAAGGTTGCGCCTAGCAGTTGTACAGGCGCCGTACGTACGTGGAGACGGTGGTGGCTAATAGAAGCCGTACTACATCATCAGCCCTTTACGGAAGATTCGTAGACCGCTAGATTGCAGGCTCCAGGGCGGCGTTTAGGATCCATGAATTGTGGTTTAATTCTAGTTGTAAATGGAAAGCCCACTTGACGTGTAAGAGGATTAGTTTACGTCCTCTGCTCCCGGTGTCTGTGCATGTGTGCGTGTGTGTGTATGTGTGTGTGTCTCTGTCTGTGTGTGTCTGTGTGTGTGTGTGTCTCTGTCTGTCTATCTGTCTATCTATCTGTCTGTTTGTCTGTCTGTGTGTGTGTCTGTGTGTGTCTGTCTGTCTGTCTGTCTGTGTGTCTGTGTCTGTGTATCTTCGTTACATATCGATCCGGGCCTGACGCTGGCCAGGGGCACCTAACCGTATATCCCAACGAGAACGACCGCTTTGGCATCATTGGAGGGGCGTTATGTCGGTCAGAATCCTAACCATACTCCTTGATCAGTGCAAGGTTCCATCACCTGTTCGAATCCTCTAGCCAGCTACATACATCAGCTCAGATGCCAAGCAACCTTTCCGTGCCACCGAGCGCGTGCTCTACAGCTGCGCGATCTATCAACGCACCCACACCGGTGCCAGTCGCCACCCTATCCTTGCAAATTCTGCCGTTGCACGGTTTCGTTACCCAACCACCATCTGGTATACAGTCTGGTCCAGGCCCTATGTAGAATTAATTCTGTATGTATTCATGTGTGTGGTCGTGTTTGTGATCCCTGACCCGTATTCACGGGGGAGGGGACTCCGTACTAACCAAAAGATTTCTCGCTCGGCCGGGTACGAGGTTTGCATTGTACAAGACTCTTCCACGGCCTCTGCGACCATGTAACATGAAGACATACATATAAACACACCTGGCAGGCTATCAATACATACAGCGCCACACATGGCAGATGGCTGGCAGAGGTTAAGGCCTGACTTCTGCTCCCGGAGTGTCCGGATTCAAATCCGCCTGCTGACCCCTCGGTGTGTGAGGGGTGTTGAAATGGGAGGTGGCCCCCCATCTTGCGGACGGTGTAGGACGTGATAAAATCAACTTGCGAGCTAACCAGGAACTAAGTTGAGGCGCCGTTGATCCGCTAGATTTGGTTGGATGCTGGTGGTGAGTTGCTGAACCCAACGAATACATTCTGAAGTCGGTTGGGGTGAATGGATTAGGGTGCCCCTCTCGCAGGGGAGAGCAGGGAACTCCCTCGGGAAAGGGGGCTGTTGGTGAAGCTATAGCACCCTGTAACGACATACATACAGCGCCGCTGCTAGCGGTCGACACATCACCACAGATGTTCAGCGAACAACAGCCAAACACGAATTTGGTCACACAAACAGGCAATCAGACTCAGATCATACATTCAGTCAAAGGTGTTATTAATGGGTTGATGGTACGAGCGACTTACGGTACGGCTGCTGATGTGTTGTTAAAGGATATACATGTATATACATACATGCATCCTGTCGGTTTCAGAAGGCGCACTGCGGTGCGCCGAAGCGGTGGAAATTATTGCCTAAGAGCGCTTTGAGCTTAGTTTGTAGGGCAGGGCTCGGGGGGTATAGGAGTTCGAGGGGGATGGGGGTTGGAGGACAAGGGAATAGGTGAGAGGGAACCCCGAGACGGGAGAGGGAGAGGAGAAGGACGGGGAATGGAGGCGGTCACGTCGTGCAGGGAAGAACCCTTTTTCTTCCCTAGTGCCGCTCCGAGGTTGTAGGGTGCTGGAGAGCCGGGGGAAGGTGGGGTCGCTCGGACAGGGGAGGGGGGAGATGGCGGTGAGAGCGCCCAAAGGACGTAGGTTTTCTGGTGTTTGGGAGGTTGAGGTCTGGTGGTGGTAGCGGGGCTCGGATGAGGGGGAGATGTGGCCCGAGGAGGGCCATTCTATTTAGACACGTCTTCTCTGTGGGACTGGGTTGCTTGGTGAGGGACGAAGGTGAGAGCGGTGCAGTACGAGACAGGGTGAATAGGTTTCTGGAGGACCAACCGTTCAGGTTAGTGACGGTAAGGGGGAGGCGCCGCGCGGGCTACAATCCTCCCCTTGCGGTTTTCTGGAGGGTCTAGGAGCTGTGTGTCGTGGCAACGCTAACGCTTTGGTGGTTTCGCCGGACTATCCCGGGTCCCTGCAGTGGTGATCAGGCTTGTGCGTGGTCCCTTTTCCTTATAAGGCTACGTCTCCCCCGGACCAGCCCAGGAAGGGAAAGGTGGTGGAGGTCAGTTGTTTTAAGGTGGTTGCAAGACGTCTTGTGGTGTCGAGCTCTCTTAGCCTTTCTCTCTTGGAGGTTTTCTGTTGGCCTGTTAGGTATATCAGGAGCCCTCCCCTGCCGGGACTGCCCTAACCGAATTTTTGTTTGTTTGTGTTTTATGTTTTTTTGTTTTTTCCCTTCGAATCCCGTTTTCGTTGGTGGTGTTTTGGGGGGTTGTTTCAGAGAGCCTTTGACTTTGCCCTAGCTGAGACTTGTGGACTCGCTCTAGCGGGACCTGAGAGCCCTTCGTGGTGTTTTCACTGCAGCGCCATCCCCGGATGGAGGGGCTGCGGAATGGCTGCGTAGAGTGTTGGCAGTCTGAGCCGGGGTCGGGAGCACACAAGACTAACCGACTTGTGCTGTGTGCTCCCGACCCTTGCGCTGTGTTTCGGCTTCGGCCCCCGGCTCTCGCGGCCCACAGTGTAATCTAAG